CACGGGGGTTATAGTCAAAAGGGACCAATGGACCTGCGTCTTGGTCTTCGGAGCCAGTCATTCTACTGACAGTGAGGACCGAGTCAACCCGTCATTTGGGAGCCGTTCAAGCCTTTAAAACGCGTCAGAAGGATAAGCAAGACACGGAAATAAGAATTCCCCTATTTCGATTGGTCTCGTACTAATTTCCCGAGGGATTAGGTTAGTGTTAAGGTTGCGGATTAGGTAGGGTTGGTGTTATGGTTCAGATTAGGGTTTGGGTCAAGGATGATGCTCAAGTTAGGGTCTCTACCCGGGAATATTAACCCTTCCTGGAATTTTTCGGGGGGTCACCCGTATTACGAGGGAAGTATTTCCTTGTTCGTGTCTCTTAACAAGGAATGCGCTGGATCTCTGTAGGGATGTTGACCGTCCGCTATCTTCTCTCGAATGAAGGCGAAATTCCGAGTTCCAGGTGTATGCATAAGTGAAATGGGTCACGAGTTTGACTTCGCAGGCACAAAATAGTCGCCCTCGCGGGAAACAAAGCAGGCCGAGAATAGATTGAAGCCTGGGCCTCGGATGAGAACTCAGTCGATCGATTTATCGATCTGGCGCCGGCTTACAGAGCCCTGCCTAGTCACCTCCAGTCTTGCGCCGTCGGTCGATGATTGGCCTAAATGCCCTAAAACTGTCGCTTGTTCCGTTGCTGCTACTACCTCTGACGATGGACTCCTGTACGAGTCTGAAAGCTCAGGACAAGAAACAAAGTGCTCCGGTGCCCGACTCTTCTTTTTCTTCTTCTTCTTCTTCTTCTTCTTCTTCTTTTTCTTCTTCTTCTTCTTCTTCTTCTTCACTTATGTTATCTTCTCTTTTCCGTGAACCAGTTGACTGTGCGAGCCTGTCAATTAGCTGGTGGTGGAATTGGGCCCAATTGTTGGGAGAGATGCAGGAACCCGTTTACGCGTACTACATACGAGCTGGTAACAAGTTCATGCAAAGAAAGTGCTTCCCACTTGCCTAAGAGGTGTACGTCCTGCGTATGTGAGGCTTTATTTAGGGGGCAGGTCTGTGTAAGTGGGGTACGGGCTGGTCTGCTGAGGTGTGTTGATGGGGTTCCAACTGACGTATTCGACCCCAGATTCCCATGAAGGCACATATTAACGCGTAGGTCTATGTGATGGCTGAATGCCCTTGAATAGTTTAGGCACGTAGGACGGATGTGTTTGGATGTCCTGGTGTTTCTAGCATGGGCGCACGAGCCTCAGTGAGGTGAGGCCGGAAGCGAACGACCAGGCCGATGCGTGTTGTGAATTTGCGGTGGCAAAGTGGGCAGTATAGGTTGGTTACCGCTGAGTCTGTGGCAGCAACAGAGAAACACCTTAAAAAGGTCCGTGGATCAACAGCTGCCGGACCGGATGGTGCCTCACCGTCTCTTCTTAAGTCTTGTTGTTCTCAGATAACCCCTGTCCTAACGCACACTATTAACATGTTTTCATGGAATCCAAGATCCCTGACGCCTGGCGTACAGTGGGAATCACTCATATCCCTAAAACACCGCAAATGTTATCCTAAATCTTTTTGTCCAATTGCCTGAACAAGTTACCCTGGATATTACGAGTCTATTCTCTTACAGTTTTTGCGATCCTTTTCAATATGCATAGAAGGCCTAGCCTAGAACCTTAGATGATATTGCTCTTCCGGCACATTCTGAATTACGAGAATTAGATAAGGGTTGCCGTGAGTACGCATGCGCTTTGGTTGATTACTCCTCCGCCTTCAATACCGTCCGGAGCCCTCTTCTCTTTACTAAAACGTCCGCGTGCGGCTCTCCAAGCTGGGTTGCCTAGCGATTATTTTACTTCTTGCACTCAGTTTGTCCAATCGGGCAAGCGGAAATCCACCGTACTTCTCAACGACTGTGGAGTCCTTCAAGGTTCCATTTTATCCCCTCATCTCTTCTTTCTCCACACCGATGGTCTAAGATCACCATACGACTGTCTATTAGGTAAGTATACTGATAATGTGTATGTTGGCCGTCCTCTCAAAAATCAGACATGTTCCCAATCCCTGGAAGATGACCTTTATCATGTCTCAGTATGATCGCAGGAAAATGGTCTCCTCATGAACAATCGAAAATCAGTTCCGTGTATTTTCCGTCTGTGGCCCTCGCCTAGTCCTGAATGCGTAGACATCCTTCCCAATTAGGTATCTACTTTTAGGAAGCTTGGCGTTACTTTGTCGTCCAAATCTAAAGTTCGTGAACTTCTTTATTACGCTTGTCGTTTACGCTCCTACCACGCACCACATCCCCTGATGTGGCGATTCATAGATGCCTGCATTCTTCCTCTCATTCTTTATTTATCTCCTTTCAGTTTTACCGCTTTACTCAAAAAAGGTATGTTAAAACGAGTCCTCCGAATGCTTTCTTCTGCCACAGTTATTGCTTATGTCATTTAGTCGATATTATTATTTCAAATCGGTCAGGAAATTTGCTGGTCGAACTCTGGATGAAGTTATTCACCCTCTGCATTCTGAACTAATCTCCGCGAAGTCTTTCTGTTCCGCGTGGCTTTCGATTTACCTCTTGCCATTTCTGGCGGGCTATCCTGCGTGTGGGAGAACGGAAATACAGGAACTAAGACCTGGAATGTCCCCATACCATTCGTTTCTTTTTTGTGTAAAACTTTTTGACTCTTGAGTAATTTATTAACTTATTTTCTGTACACAGTGAATGGAGTTCATCCTTCCGAACATTTTTGATTTATACTTTCAAAATAAAGCGAATTCTTCTTCCTCTCTCTCTTGAGTCGGGGAGCATATATAAGCATAATCGATAATTTGGCAAGTTTAAAGTTGTAGCAGTAACTTATTAAGTGGAATTTCTAAAATTCTGGTCGACACTTAACAGTTGAGAATGCAGATATCAATATAGCACACTCATGCTGAACGAATCCAAGATATGCGTCGGTAAAACTCTGGCTGTCACATAACCCTTTGCGAGAAGGCAGGAACACTGATTGGCGCGAAATTGTGCCATTTTAAGCCGGCAATCATGAGGTCGGAGATTAGTTATCGGTGTCATTTCAAGGCGATTTTCCCACCTCAAATCAAGCCCACTGAAAATCAATACATTGAAGATGAAGTCATTCGTGAAGAAATTTTCCGCTGCAGAGATTTTGGGCACTCCTTTGTATGCAGGTAACTATCTGGATTCCATCTAAAGAAACCCCTCATATAAATGGCGTCTATTAAAAACGTTTGAATACCGTATTTAGTTTCAGTTTCAGTTTATTAAGGGAAATATAGGCGAGCGCCTTTGAACTTTTTACTGGTTACAAATCGTCGGAGAAAAACATTGATAAGTGGGAAGGTGAAAAAGAGATTTTGTACATAAACGCGGACAACTGACAGCTAATCGAAAAAGAGTAATCATTAACGGTTACGTACTAGTTACAAGTAGTAAATACACCTATAAGCTAGTGCCGGGTTATGTGAGCAGATGTAAGGCTGGTAATTGGGAAGCTTGATACGCGTCAACTCTACACTTAAAGGAATTCACACAAGAGGAGATTGTAACATCGGTAGGCAGGGCATTCCACGCTGTAACCACTCTGTTAATGAAAAAGAACTTTCGTCCATTGATTCTTGCTTTCCCTGCGCGTATTTTTTAGGGGATGACCGCGCAAAGGGAGCGTGTTTGCTTGAGTGAATTAATCAGTGGGATCTAAACGACAGTCTAGGTCGTTGATAATGCAAAATGTTAGTATAAGGTCATCACGTAATTGCCTGTAGGAAGGGAAGAACAGGTTGAGAGTTGACAGTCTGGTTTCATAGGGCAGTGCTCCCAGGCCTTGTGCCATTTTGGTCGCCCGTCTCTGGACCTTCTCCAAGACGGAATAGTCCTTGGCAGTCCAAGATCTCCACGCCTGTATGACGTATTCTAGATGAGGCCGCGAGTTGGTGCCGAATATTTTGGAAAAACAGTCAGGGTAAAATCCCATAAAGGCTCGCGTAATGAGTTGCAATGTGGCCGTTGCCGACTTAGCAGCCTTCGCGCAGTGCAGTGTTGGTATGTGTGAAGATGTAATCCATACACCCAGGTCCTTCTGATTGTCAACCTGTTGCAGTGGTGTGCCGTGTAGAAAGTAAGTCCTGAGGATGGAGGCTCTGAAGCTGCCTAGTTGAAGAAAGTTGCACTTGAAGGGCATAAGCCAGCGCTTCGACCAGTTAAAGTTTTTGGCTGTGCGGTCTAGTCGTGCGTCGGTAGTGTGGCGGAGCAGGCTCTAACTTTTGAAGTCTCGGGTTCGAACGCCAAGTGCGCGTTACTTTAAAAATAGTGCGGACTCCAACATTCTGCACAAACTTTCCATATCCCCAAGAATAAACTTCTCGGCAAAGAGCATAGGCTTAAGTATGAGGGAAAGGCTTTTATGAAGACCTTTCGGTAGAAAGTAACTTCAGTAGCTGAATAGGAAGGTATGGTCGAGAAGCTTCCGAGAACAGAAATTTAGACAAATTTTGAGACGATGATGAAACAATGTCTAATTGTAGAAAAGCAACTCAGCCTTTGTAGAAGCTTTGGATGTATTGTTCTTCAGATAATCCGTCTTTCTGGGCTTGCAAGTAGTAGAAACAAGGAAGACCAAATTCGCGGAGTTCTGCGAATGTGCTGCAGGAGACTAGTTGGGAGGAAGATATTGACGAGTCGAATTCAAGTCCTAATTCCGGAAGGCTCTAAGAGCGTACAGTTAGTTGAAACCCCGAAGCAACTGAATTCCTCGGAGGGCGAAAATCTGAAACCAACTTTGAACGATATTCAGATATCTGCCGTTGATATGCGAAGTGACTTTGTATGGTCGACCGTAGGGGGGATTCCGCTGTCGCGAATGAGCGTATGGCTGGACAACTCATATGGTGTCTTGAGGCATTGTGGGCAGGTGATGCGGGTGTGAGGAATCTACGTTAGGCTTAAGGAACTGGTTCATCGGCCCCAGTGCGATGGAATTGCAGGTAACCCGTCAGACCAGTGTGTGACGCGAAAGTGTGGTTGCCATAGAAACAGGCCGCCATCGAGCCCGCCTTACTGGTGGCGGTGGTGTCGGTGGTGGTGGTGGAGATTGTGGTGGTGCTGGTGTTGGTGGTGGAGGTTGTGGTGGTGTTGATGGTGGTGGTAGTGATAATTGTGGGGATGGTGCTGGTGGCGGTGGCGGCGGCGGCGGCAGCGGTGATACTAAGGCGTTAGGAGTAGTTTCACCGACGATAAGTGTGGCGGTTGTTGTTGTCAGCGCATGGAAACGACAGGCAGCAAGACATCGGGAGTTAGTTAGTCCATCAGCAGTGGTCACCGTCGTCGTGGCCGCTGTGGGGACTGCTGTAGGGGTGATTATGTAGGCGTTTTCGGGGGCGAGCGGAGGATCTGCCGCTTTGGTAGCTCGTTTGATCCGTAGATGCCCAGAGGCCCATCTGTGAGCAGAATGTTTTTTGACATCGAAGAGAGGCTGAAAGCGCCTGGGGGCTGGAGTCGTTTGTCAGTATTAGACAAACTTTCAGTAGTTCACTTTGATCCACCTGTGAAAATCTCGGCGCTTTGGTGGGATTCGAACCCACGACAGCAAGGAGAAGACTTTTTTTACAGCCAACGCTCTAACCATTTGAGCTACGAGGCCTCACTGGACGACGCGAGTTTAATCACATGTGGGTCAAGTTTACCCGCCCAACTTACTGCAACCTCTGGTACCACCAAATCTGATACAGTCAGCTGACTACCCAAGCAGGATTACCTAAGTAATACATCAGTAATCCACCAGATGACTACCAGGCTCACAGTCTGGTAGGAAGTTCCGATGAGATTCACTCTGGGGACCAGTGCGCGCTCGAATTCTAGTTAAGTTGAAAATAGGTGGGATTATTCAGCGTGCTCATAAAACGACATCTGGAAGGCCGTGGACCATCTAAGTCCGACAGCTCGACCATCATAGCCGACGACGTTCACGCCACTGCCATGGATTGGCCATGGCATCGATGACTTGCTCGTACATTATTTTATTGTTAGGCAGGCTTGAGCAACATTTACCACACATCCACCTCTCTCACTCACCTTTCTCCGATGCGAAGGCAGTATCAGGACGAGCGGGAAGTCATGTGATCGTTTCCCAAAGTATGTACAGGAGTCTACGATGAACAGCCCAATCAACACGATGAAAAGCGAGGTCCATGATGAACAAGACAAGCGAAGTTCATGGCAGGTTATGCAACGTCCGAGAGCAAACTCCGTGTTTTGTATAGCACTGAATAAAACACGACCTACTTAAACGCGTATAGTAGGCATTCCTTGCGCGCGTAGATTCTTGGGGGCCTTCACCGGATCCTTGCCCGAACGGTGACGCAGTGGCTGACGAAACTTGACTGCTCGTCTATGCGTGCTGCGCATGATCGCGTATACATACGAGCTCCTGCGTAGAAGTGATTGACCCTTCTGTGACGGCTTCCATTTGCTTGAATGCCTTGAGAAAATCCTAGGAGAATAGCTGACAATATTGACCACCTCAACATTATCCTCATGATGGAAGAATTTGCCAGACAGGTGGATTGGACAAATACCCTCCGAGGTCACGAAACCTTAAACTTTTAGACCATTAATCGGGAAATATAGAATAAAGCGTCTACGACACACAACTAGCAACAGTCGCTGAACTGATAGTAACCACTGAACAGGAATGTATTCAAATACCAAACAAAATGGCCCTTTACAAGCAAATATGTTTGGGACACTAACAGACTAGTATGTGACGCACATCAGTCAGGTTATGGGACACGCTCGCCCCGTTAAGCCTTGCGGCTTAATCTACGGCCCTCGCAAGCAGCCGCATGGCGACATGCATTATATGGTGGTATTAGAATACCGACAAAGACTAAAGAGACGGGAATGACTATTTCTGCCCTATAAGCTGCCATAGCCCGGCCATATCCAGTTCCAGGTGCGGAAACCTAGGATTTGAGCGGGGGATCCTTGGTTATTGAGTGCAACACTCTATAAATGAACCACTAGCCCACTCACAACCGACAGGACCAGGCGTACGCAGCTCCATAGTCGAGTGCTGCACTCAATTAACAGAGATTCCGGGGTAGAATCTCGGGTGATTCACACATGGGGCTGAATATGACTGACTGATGACAATTGGTGTGCGTTGAAACAGGATGCAAATGTTTGGCTAACCAAATGTAAACCTTCGATTCCTCCTTGGCCTTCACGGTCAGTCAAATGAAAACGCAACTATATTTCCGGACTCTGGTAGAGTTTTAAAGAGAGCGGCTCCCAGTTGGAAACTCCGAAGTTTATCTATGATTTATCGAAATGTCAACAGTCTGTTCCCATATGGAATTACTTGGAGATTTGTCGTCTAGACGCTAAAATGCAAGGCGATGATCGTACAAAATTGATATGAATGAATAGGTGCGGCCGATTTTCGCTAGCGGTAGGTTATAGACAAACCGGGGAGTAAGTACGACCCTTGAGGTATACGCTAAAGATATGGGAATTGATACTACTGACACTGATGGGTTTCGTCTCGAGAAACTTTATTCCGTGTGGCAGAACACTGTTATAACTTGGGTAGTTTTCCGAAATGCGACTGACATTTTCCGATAAGGTCAATTAAGCCTGCTAGGGCAGCCCACCTCTTCGTCGTGTGGTGTAATCAAGGGATACCCTGCGCCATTCAACGGGGAGATGCCAGAGAGTGAGAACTTTGTCCTTTTAATAGACTGTGGTTCAATGAAAAGGGTATGTATTTAGGCACCTTAATCACAGGGGAACCCGCATATACTCTCCCTCTTCAAATTGTTGTTTACCCGTGTCGAGCGTTGCTTGGACCTTAGGCACTTTAGAAGCCTCGGTCACTTCTCCTTACACGTGAGGAAAGTGCAAGCTTATTCTTGGGTCACCTTTGCCGAATGCTCTGATACTCCAGTTGCGGCTGCATGCAACGCGCGTCCCGCTCAGCTGACAGCAACCTCAGACCCGCTATCTGCATCGCTCTCTCATTTTATTTTTTAATCTCAAGGTCACGAGCGTGTGACAGACAGGCGGGCATTTTGAAGTGCGCGCGCGCGCGCGCGACACGTGAGTACGCCCAAAAGCCTGCATTAATAGGCTAAAGTCGGTTGCCTAGCGCCAGGCCCAGTGCCTAGGCTGTGTTCTCGTGCGCTTTCGTCTTTTCGTCACCCTCTGCAAGCCGAGCGGGTGGTCGCGAACCCACGTCGCCCTTTTCGGTCACTTTATGTGCGCATGCAATTAAGTGAAGAGGCTTTCTCGGACAAAAATCGATAAGTTGCTCCCCAGCACGTGCAGTCCAGCGCTGTGCTTAGGGCTGGCGGCCACCACAGCGGGGTCAATTCCGCTGCCAGTTTAAACAACCATTCAGCTAGTACGTTGAGTCTCCGCTAAAGCCCTCATCGCAATTCCTCCCACACCAGTTGACGGGCAAGATGGAAGACAACTTTGGCGGCCGAGCCATCATGGCGATAGGCATTTATTCCTTCCTCGACAACATCCTCTCAGAGCTCTCCTCGGCCCCACCTGCAGAGGGCGAAGAGAATAGCCTCAATGCAAATAATGACTTGAACGTCAATGACGTGGATCTCTTTCGGGAGGAGAGTGGCGCGCGGGCTCTCTCTCAGGCCCTCCTCGAGTCAACCTTTGAGGAGACTAACCCCTTTGTTCTGCAATCCACTGGCAGACTATCTGAAGGCGTGAGTGGAGATGATGAACCCACAACTTATCTCTCGTCTCGTCTTCAAGCTCTGGAGGCGCTTCAATCAGAAGACTCCAGCAGTGCCGGGGAAGAATCCGAGCGTAAGGACGAGCCCGCGGCTGGAGGATACCCAGAAGATTTATTTTTGTACTTATCTGATCGCGAAAAAGAGGAGTTCACTTGCTCCATATGGTAAGTCGAGCGGGCTCTTCAAGGGCATTTAGATGCTATGACTTGCTGCCGAGACCTTGGTGTCAGGTATATAGCTAACCTGTAGTGTTCAATGTGCTGGATGATATTCTCGCTGGGAGGATTTACAGTGCGTGACCGATCTCATGAAATGCGTTTTCCATTAGGAAGGATTACTAAGGTGGGATTGTAATACTGATTATCATTCGGCATAATCTTATAGTATTTTGGACTCGCCAGGACGCCGGCTTTTAAATGCATTCCCTTTCAACCTCCTGCAGAAACCACACTTGGTAAAATATGACTGCTTAAGTAGCAATGCTTTTTTCGCATTGTTCTCCGATGGTCTTGTCCATCGGAATATACTTTATCGAAAACAGGGACAAAATATACTTTCTTTTATTCGTTTTGTAGAAGATCACGTTGTCTTCACATATTATACCCGAAGAAAGTGTCTGGCAAGGATCGGTTGAAGGACCCCAAGCATCTGTAGCACAAAACGAATACCTATGATACTTATTTAAGTGGGTTTTATTACGATACGATTATTTTGGTTTGACATTTCATCGTAAAAGTTTGGACCGTCTGTTGTAGACGGTTTGGTACATTACCTACAAGGACCTGAGCTCAGAGGGTACAGAAGCGATCGTTGTAGACACTTTATGTCTATTTTTAAACTGTTATGCTTAATTTCGGTTGCAATATGCCAATGCATTAAAATTTTCCGCTCGAAAAACGAATATACTAATTATCTATACTTATTACGCCATTCCTCTATGCATACATAGGGTTCGCCCGTTAAACCCCTATTACCACTTTCCCGTAAGACAGGCACCTTTGGCTGGTCGTGTGTGTTTGGGTCCTTCATCCGATGGTTGCCGCGTTTAGCAATTTCAGTCTACAAAGTGAATGCTTTCCGAGTAAGGAAATTCATATGTTCCTCGATGCCTTTAAGAAGATACCATATGGAAGTCGTAAAATTTTGCAATGGATGCAATGGATGGATATATTCTGCTTTGCCTTTAAAAGGACACTAGGGGGATTTCTTAAAACTTTGCAATGCATGTGGACAACGTTGTGTATGTCATGAGGAGTGTTGATAAACGGATATGTGCGATGTTGCACGCATAGACATCGGACGGTCTTAAATATATTTAAAAGACAATTTGGCCAGCATACGTAAGCTTTCGATAGATTTTAATCAGGCCTATAGACTTATATTGCTGTCGAAATGATGAAAAGGAAAACGAGGGCAAGCAGAAGTTATTCTGTAGCTGGGGTTTGAGAGAGAGGGTCTGGTTGGGTGAGGTGAAAAACAAACTTATCGTCAGTGTCAGGGAGGAGAAGGGGATAGTGGGCACTGGGACGGGTAATTATAGGCAGGTGGCTGGCATGGTGGCTTTGGCCCATGCTAACTGGGGGGCCTGTACGAAGTTCTTTTGTGCGCATAGAACTGGTTTGTATAGCCTGATTCCAGCCGCCTCTGCTGTTGCTGTTGACACTGACAGTAATTTTGTTTTTCATCTCACCCACCCAGACCCTCTCCCTCAAACCCCAGCTACAGAATAACTTCTGCTTGTCCTCATTTGCCTTTTAATAATTTCGACAGCAATATAAATCTATAGGCCTGATGAGGAATTATCGAAAGGTTACGTATGCTCGCAAAATTGTCTTTTGAATTCTTCAATGGGAATTTTTGCAACTCTTAAAAATATCATGATTAGAAGTTTTTTAAGAACCTAATTATACACTTTCATCGGGCATGATATATGAAGATAATGAGCCTTTCTACAAATCGAATAAAACAAATGCACTTTCCTCGGGTATAATATGTGAAGACATCGTGATTTTCTACAAAACTATTAAAAGAAAGCATATTTTTGTCCATGTTTTCTATAAAGTATATTGGAATTGATAAGACCATCGCGAAACAATGCGAAAAAACATGCTACTTAAGCTGTTATTTTTTTTAAGTGTGGTTTCTGCAGGAGGTCTAAGGAGAATGGATTCAAAGTCGACATCCTGGCGAGTCTAAGTTACTATGAGATTACATAGCATGATAATCAGTATGACAACCCCACCTGAGTAATCCTTCCTAATCGCAAACGAATTTTGAGAATTCCGGGCACAATTTTGTGAGATCGGTTACATACTGTAAATAAGGAAATAGAGCAGCAATCAGCACGAAGAATTTGAGCTCGTTTCCCAAAACTGACGGCTAGTCTGCACAGTTTCGTTGAAATATATACTCATTAAACATCTACAACCGTTGTTTTTTGAAGAATTTGACTAACTGCTAATCTTGACTGGCATAGATCCAACAAATCAAGATGCAATTGTTTTGGATTTGATAATTTGCTTTACATTCGGCCCGCTACTATCTAAGCCTTCAACACGACAGGCCGTATTTAGTCCGTTCCAAATAACAGTGATCGGTGCTGTCCCGGGAGCGTATTGATGTTCCACGGTTGATTCGGATTATGCTGGAAGAAAGCTGGTATCTCATTTTCTTTTGTCGGAGGCGATGCCATGAAAAGACAAAGCCTAGGCGGCATCTACGCGTGCCGCACACCAGCCGGTCCATTTATGCGCACGAATCGAACTTCGCCAGACCACCTGGTTAGGCGTCGTTGAATTTGAGCCTGACTTGCGTTAGAACGGGTAGGAGGTTTTTAAAGCACGTGCTTCACTCCCTCTTGAACCCGGTCAGGGTGACTAAGGCGCAGTAACTAACCTGAAATGGCGCCCCGGTCTGCGCATATCAAATGTCTGTTGGCCCCATACCGCGCACAAACCCGCCGCGGGTCACTCGCACTCCCATCGATCAAGGTTGCCGTAAAAACAGCTTGAGGAGTACCTATTGCAGCCAAACCCTTAGTTCTGGGCTTGAATCTAGATCAGGTTGGTAAGTGAACATTTACGTTCAAAATTGTATCCTCCTGGACTGTTGGATTTAAATGACTCTTCAGCGGGAAATGGCTCTCTTTGTCGTGTTTTGCCTGCACAACATCGTAGACTACACCTAGAAGGAGATGGCGCGCTCATTTTGTACAGCTTAAATAACGAATTCAAAAATAACATTGTATTTTCCGAGGTTATCTCTGGTCGTCGGCAATGAGGAACTGCGTTTCCGCTCTTTTAACACGTCCTCCTGCTTTGTTTGTTTGAATACTCGTTCTCTCCATGCAACGCTAGGCCCGGGTGTTCCTGCCTCGTTTGTAATAATAGATCTCACAGCTACTTACATTGCGTGACCGACCTTATGAAGTGTTGGCCGAAATTCTGGAATGCGTTTTCGATAAGGATGAATTAGTTAGGTGAGGTTGCAATATTGATTATTCTGCGGCACAATTCTATGATATTTCAGACTCACCCGAATGTCGGCTTTTGAATTCACTTCTTTTTGACACCCTGCAGAAACCATACTCAGCACAAAATGACTACTTAGGTAGCGGGCATTTTCCCTATTGATTTTTGATGGCTTAATAAATTCGGATGCACTGTACAGAAAACGTGCACAGAAGCACGCTTTCTTTTACCCGTTTGAGAGAAAATCACATTGTTTTCATAATTCACACCCGAAGAAAGTGGATATTTAGGTTTTGAAAACGTTTTCCAATGCCTGAATAATTTCGAGCCTGATCAGCCGTTGAACTAGCGTTTAGCGATTTCAGTCTACAAGGTGTATGCTCTCCGCGTAAGGCAAATCATATATTCCGCTTTGCCCTTAAGTAGACATTATGCGAATTTCGTAAAACTTTGCATAGCATGTAAATTACGTTGTGCATCTCATAAGGAGTATTGATAAACGGACATGTGCGATGCTGGATGCATGCACGGTCTTAAAAATATTTGAAAGACAATTTGGCGAGCATACGTAAGCTTTCGATAAATTCTCATCAGGCCTATACATTTATATTGCTGTTGAAATGACTAAAGGGAAAATGCGGACAAGCAGAAGTTATTCTCTAGCTGGGGTTTGAGGTAGAGGGTCTGGGTGGGTGAGGTGAAAAACGATATTATCGTCAGTGTCAGGGGGG